GAACACTAGTGGAAGGATAGGTATGAGTCTTCCCCGTGGTTACCCACGTATCCATAAGATATTCTACTTTCTTGTCACAAGCTTTAACTGTAGACATTCACCAGGACTTCATGCTTAGAACTAGACTTTTCAAGGTCTCCAGTAGCTGGAAGTCCCCTAACCCATGTGTTAGCCTATTCTGTTGCCAAACCACTCAAATCATAGAAAGTTCTTCCCCACATTGGGCCAGAATCTGCCTCCTGTAACTTATTCCCATTTACCCCAGCTCTGCTCTCTGTAGCCACAGGGGATGTCAATGTCCCCTCCAATGTGACAGCATACAAATACTTGAGGATAATTACCATGTCCCGAATCTCCTCTTATCCAGACTACATGTCCCCAGTCCCTCAGAGGACACAGCTTTCTGCATAGCCCCCATACAATAGTAGGGGAAGCAAGCACTCACCACACTTGACCATTCCTACTTCATAGCACTTCCGAAGTCGGCAGGCCTGGCAGCTTTTGCGCCGGTTCTTATCTATTGTACACTGATTTGTAGCTGGACAAATATAATCATTATGTCCTATAGAAGAGCAGGGGGGAAAAAGGAGGTTACTTTTACAATATCTTGGTTAAATCTCTTCCTGGTCAATAACCCTGATAACACTACCCAGCAGAGAGACAAGGGACATCTTCTTAAAGACAGGTGCAAATACAAAGGCCAAAGTTAAGCCACATTATCATCTCATTAATGAGTAAAGAACTAGGAATATCTCAATATCCTATTTTTTCACTGATAGGTTATTACCTGTATATTCTTAGAATTCTCAAGAAACATTTAGAAATAGTCTTCTTTGGACATGGAAAGTGAGAGTCGCATGAAATTGATTTATTCCAAATCACAGAACTCCTTAAGAGTTGTACTTGTATATCAAGTCACCAAATTTAACTATTTGTATTCTTTTACATATATCCCTCTTTGGGATTTAATATGATATTTTTATGGGAATTCACAGTCAAATAAGAGAACTAAACCAAAAGGAACAAATAAATTAGCAATCTAAATAAGAACAGAAGTACTGCTACTTGACAATAGTTCCAGTGGGTTAGATTAATGTTCCCAATTCTTCACTCTCTCCCCAGCGCTGTGACCCTGCAGTGTGCTAGAGTGGGCAGAGTATACTTCCCCACCAACTGGTGTTGCGCTTGACCATGGCACTCTCCGTACCCAACGGCATGTTAATAGATGTGCTACTCCAATAGTCTGGCTTGGCCTCTCAAGCTCCTATGAGATAGTCATTGGTCCGAGGAGAATGTGAGAACACGTAGTAGAGTGGACCTGAACTCAACCCAGAGCCACGCCTTATGAAGTAGATCTACCCTAACCAACTTAAAGACTCATAAGTACAAAACATAATTCTCATTGGAGTAAGACACTAAGAGTTTCAAGTTCTTAGTTATATAGCAATCTCTAAGACAATGGTACTTTTTCTTTTACTAAGTCCATTTTTCTGCAGAAGGACAATGGTACTTTTAATTCTTTCATGCAAGGAAAAGGTAAAAATATTTACATTTCAAAAATTAGTATTTCAGATGCAGTATGGAGAACAGGTTTCAGGCAGCAAAACTGAAGGTAGCCAGGAGACCAGGTAAGAACATGCTGCAGTTGTGCAAATGAGAGAGGCTGTCTGGATTGGGTACTGATAGGGAGGGTGATGCAGCTACTTAGGTCTGAAAGAGGCTTAAAAAATAGAAATTATAATAGATGTAAAGCAACAGAATAGAGTATTTAGATGCCTTTATTTCTTAATTGTGTCTTTCTGATAAACAATATGGCCTGAATTTCTTACACTAAGCCTGCAACAGGCCAGAACTTTAGTGTGGAGGATAGATGAATCTCAATGATAAACAAAATGAACAAGTCATAAAAGAAACAAGTCACAAAGAACATCTAGGAGAAATTTTATTTACTTAAAGTTCAAGAACAGAGAAAATGAAACTATAGCGCTTAGGGATGCCTATATAAGTGGCAAACCACAGCAAGGAAGGCAAAAGATAGGACTGTCTCACCCCTGGAGGGAGAGAAGGCACCGTGATTGGAAGGACCACCACAGCAATTCTGGGGCACCGCTGTATTCTATTTAATTGCCTGAGCCTAGTTACACAGGAATTTGCTTTGTAATTATTCTTTAAACTGGACATGCTACATGCAGAATTCTACATGTATGTTAT